AAATGTTTTGCCACTTGCTTGAGCAACTTAATATATCAATCTAGAAGTAAATGCAAAAGTAAAAAGCATTGAATAATTGATGAAAGATTGTATTACTGTACTGTGTAAAAAAAGAATCACAATATTGAAAAAGCCTTTTAAGTAACAATGTTTGGATTTAAAATCAAAATAATGGATAAATGTTGTGTTTGTAGTAAACAGCCACGGATCAGTTGCAGATTCCTGTGTGAAAGTACAGTCAGTGCTGCTTCTGCACCGCTTCTGTACTGCACATGGACTGCATACGCACTGCAAACAGAGTATGTGTGAACCTCACATACAGCTCACAAAACCAGGCTTGTGCTGTGTGTAAGCTATTGTGCAACAATTGCATGATTGTAAAAACAAAAATGCAGTGCATGATCAAACATTTAGGTGAGATAAATATATATTTTCGAAAAATGTCTAAAAAATGCCCCCCTCCACCCCTTAAATTAAAAAATCCCTCTGACAAGAGTTACCCAAGAGGGGAATTCATTTTCAAAAATGAAATTCAGGCCCTGAATAAATGTCTAAAAATCCTGATTGGATCATCACTATAAATAATTCTACATGATAAAAAGAACGCTTTAAAAAGATCGGTATCAGTGATCGTATCGGCAGATACTGCTTTCTGTGAACGGCAATCGGTGATCGGCCTCAAAAATCCTGATAGGAGCACCCCTACTTGTCAGAAATTTAAAAAGCCCTAATGATGGATTTGTTTATTACAAACACGCCCCTTTTCACTTCACAAGCTGTTAACAGATGGACGGGAGTCGTGTAGATTGTTGTGATGTTTTTATCAGCTGTTTGGACTCATTCTGACGGCTACCCATTCACTGCAGAGGATCCATTGGTGAGCAAGTGATGCAATGGTAAATTTCTCCAAATCTGTTCTGATGAGGAAACTAACTCATCTACGTCTTGGATGACCTGAGGGTGAGTAAATCAGCACATTTTCATTTTTGGGTGGAGTATTCCTATAAAAGTAACGTCATGACCTACATTTGTCCTGACGTCATTACGTATGCTGATTATATGTACGCAGGGATATTCAAGAAACTGTGGTTAATGTAAATCCTGTAGACATCAGAATGAATGTAGACCTTACTATAGCCAAAATATAAACATAAATAGGAAAATTATGTGCATATAAATGTAGTCATAATTTTTTTTTCTTAGCTAAAAAAACTGCCTCCACAGCCCAAGCGGTCCTTGCAGAGAGGAAGAGGATGTTAATGAGTACATCAACCCAGAGGAAGCAGGAAACCACATATCTCGCACTAATATACAAGAACTATGCACCCCATCAGCTCCCGCTACCACCCAAGCCTCCGACCCCCCAGACCAGGACCTCCCGCTGTGCTTCGGCCAGTCCCGACTCGCTGTGGCGGTGGCCAGTTCACGTGTGGCTCTCGCCGGGCAGCAGCAGGACACCGGTACACTGACACGAGTGCTGCTCACCGGCCTGCCCAACCTCCACAGCCTCCCGCTAGCACAGACAGCAGCAAAAGAAGCAACACGTCAGCCTCCCAGTGCTGAAACAGCCCAGAGTAAAACTGAACATTTACTGGGACTCGGCTGCTACTCATCGTCCTCAGATGAGGCGATATAGTTTAGTGAAATGAAACTTCAGTTTGTGAAATTATTAAATCTCATTATGCTCATTAGCTGATGAAACATAGTTATTATTATTATTATTATTTTTATTTTTTCAGTTGAATACATGGTGCTGCACTTTTAAAGGGATAGTTCACCCATAAATGAAAATTGTCATCATTTACTCACCCTCAATGTCGTTCCAAACCCATAAGACTTTGGTTAATCTTCGGAAACACAAAAGAGGATATTTTTAATGAAATCTGAAAGGTTTATGTCCCTCCTTTGAAAGTCCAGGTATCCAAAACCGGAATCGACCAGCTTAAATATAAGTACTTTTATGGATGAACAGATTTAATTTGCACACACAAGAACCAGTGAAGTTTGTTTTTAGCCTGTGATGCACAAATGTCTGTGTTTATCCTATGGGATTTGCTATATGTTTGTGTGTTTTATATGTAAATAAAAGCCCATATTTACTCTGTTCAACAAATAAAGAGTCTCTACAGAAGGCTTGGATTAATCCACTCAATTGATATGGATTCGTTTTATGATTCCTTAATATGGATCTTTTTAAGCTTTGGTTACCTGGTCTTTCAATGTAGAGACAGAAACCTCTTAGGTTTCATTAAAAATATCTTAATCTGTATTCCAAAGATGAACATGAGTTTGAGGGCGAGTAATTTGACAGAATTTTCATTTTTGGGTGAACTATCCCTTTAACATTTGATATTCAAAATATATCTGATGCATGAAAGTGAAACTTGAAAGTCAAACATTTTCGAGTGAAACCTGAAAGCTGTAAATCACCTGTGTTTGTGTGTTTATACTATTTGTCTTAACCTAGTTTATTCGGGCTATGAATGTGTTAAGCAGTGTTAAGAAGAGAACGGAAATGGCTGAGATGTGGTTAGAGTAGAACTCTGAATGGGATGTAAGTGATTACTTGTCAAAAACAAAATATGAAGTGTTTACTGTTATATAAGTTTATCTGGGAAGTACATCTTCGGTATCTATAAAGTTTCAATTTCAACCACAAAGGATTTTAACAGGTTGACGCCACATTTTAAGTGACATAAACATTCTGTTCACATTATATTCACTTGTAC